CCCCCCCCCCACCAAGCCAGCCAGTCCTTCGTGGCTTGTAGGTCACACTCCCCAGTCCCTTGCTCTCCCACTCTCAGGATACCTGCTGGTACAGATCCTCCAGATTCTACGCAACCCTCCAAATACTAATTAATTCTGTGTCCCTCCCACCCCCATATCTGCCAGTCCCCACCCCAACTGTTAATTCTCCCCCAACTCCACATCACTTCTGCTCCCAGCCCCTCCATCAGTTCTGACCGTACCCAGCCCCCACATCTGCTCCTCAGGGCCCCTCTGCTCCTCCTGCAGCTCTAGGGGTTCTTCACCCCCTCCTATCCCTGGGGCTGCAGGAAGGAAGGGAGGAGGAGCTTCCAAGGGTTATAGAGCTAAGATATCAGAGGATTGGATTGACTGGAATCCTCCAGGCCATAGGGACTAGGATGATTTGGCTAGAGAAGCCCATTGTTTCATTCCCAGAGGGCTGTTCCCCCCGTGTCTCAGTGACACTGTCTGACCCAGGATTCCCAGAGTCCTCTTGGACCACAGAGGACAGGGCAAACATGCTGCACAATCCCTGGGGCAGTGAGATTGGCTTCTCTGCCTCTCTCACTCCCTGCTCTCTATGATTTGACAGTGCAGAGGCTGCACAGAGTTGAGACCAGAAGCAATCTCCAAGGTCACAGTGATGGCATGATAGATAGTCCACAGGGAGAGGTCATAGAGACAGGGCTGGCTCCAGGCACCAGCTTACCAAGCAGGTGCTTGGGGCGGCCACTTCAGAGAGGGGTGGCACGTCCAGCTGTTCGGCGGCAATTCAGCGGATGGTCCCTCACTCCCGCTTGGAGCGAAGGACCTCCCACCGAATTGCCGCCGCAGATCACGATCGTGGCTTTTTTGTTTTGTTTTTTTGTTTGGCTGCTTGGGGCGGCCAAAACCCTGGAGCCGGCCCTGCATAGAGACAAGGCTGTGTGAGGCTAGGAAGGCTGATCTCAGGGTCCCCAGTGGGATATGCCCCCCTCCCTGGTGTGTCTCAGCGACACAGCCTGAGCCGGGATCCCCTCCCCACCCAGAGCCAGCGTCGGATTCTCTCCCCAGGGATGGAGCCCGGCGGGAAAGTGAAGATCGGGGCCTCATCAGCAGCATTGATAAATGTCACCTGCCCCCGGTTACAGTCCAGATAAACCCGGATCCTACTGGGGACCCGGCTCAGGGGCAGGGGGGTTTCAGGGGAGGTGAGAGCCCGCAACTGACCCCCGCACCGCTGCACAGCCCAGATCCCCCCCTCAGGGCTGAGGCTGATCCATCCTTTCCTCCTCACAGAGACTCTTGCCACCCCCACAGCCCAGAATTCCCCACCCCTCACCTCCACCTCCCAACAATGTCTCCCTGAGGTGAATCCCTCACAGCCCAGCACACAGAAACAATAGTCAAATCTCTCAGGGTTGTTGGGCAGTCGCTGCCGTGTGTCTCCCCATCTCACACTTTTCCGATCCTCAGACAGGACGAGTTGGGGATGAGCCGTGTCAGGATCCAGAGTCACATTCGCTGGGGAGAGAGAATCAGAGCATTAGGGGCAGAGCTCGGCCCTGGGGGAGGCTGGGACCATTTCTCACACTCCCCAGCAGCCCCATCCTGGCTGGGACAGGCCTGGATCCCAGGGAGCTGCCTCTGTCCTGGGCACCTGAGACTGAGCAGAGATGTCACTGCAGCTCCTCCTCTGTATCTCATTTGCTTGCAGAAGCTTCAGCTCCGTTCCCGCTCTGCTGGGGCTGCTCCATTCCCAGCAGCACGGACACAGCCAGGAAGGTGTCAGAAGCTTTTGGTGAGAGGGATCAGAAGAGGCAGGTACCAGCTTTAAATCCCAGAGAGAAGCTTTCTCCCCTAATGAAGCCTCCACTCCCAGGCCAGGGAACAGAGAGGAAGGTGCAGTGTGGGGGAAGAGTTGCTTAAAACCAGAACGTAGGAAGTGGCATTGGGTGGGGTAGCCCCATCCCCAGCCCAGAGAGAAGGGAGGAGCTGACAGTGTCACAGGAAGAGCATCTCCCCAACAGAGGAAGCAGGGAGCAGCTCCAATGGGAGAGTCCAGCCCTGCCCACAGGAAAGGCCGGATGTTGGAGAAGTGCGATGGGGAATGTCTGGGTAAAGCAGAGGGGTGTGTTAGCCCTCAGGGGAGAGAGCTCTGTTCGGGTGCGGCTCAGTGAGAATGAGTGGACATGAACGCAGCACTGTTCGTTGTTAGGAGTGTTTGACTTCAGTTTGGGATCTCCCCAGGAGTGCTGGAAGCTTGAGAGATGTTGTAGGGGGGACACGAAGTCCTGCTGCCTGTGCCCCCCCCCATGGCCCTGCCCCACTTCTCTTCCTGCTGAAGCCCCACCCCTTGGCCAGGCTGAGAACCTTGGCCCCTGTGGAGAGCCCCTGACCCTCCACCTGGCCTGGACAGAGGTCTGGGGGTACAGAGAGCAGCCCCCGGCCCATATCCCCGCTTCCCGGAGTGCGCCACCCAGGGCAGGTGGAGGATCCAGGGCTCCCCAGTGCAGCTCCCTGGGTGGCAGCTGGGCTCCAGTTTTTGGCTTGGCCAGGAGGCAGGGCCTCAGGGGAAGAGGAGCAGGGATGGGGCAACTGAGAGGGGCCAGCACTGGGAAGAGGCTGGAGCTGTGGGCAGGGGAGACCTGATCAGCTGCCCCAATATGAAGCACAGCCACTGCCTGTGATGCTCCATGCCTGCCCAAGGCTTGAGGTTTGGGGGGGGGGAGAGTAACTTGGCCCCCTGCCACCAAACTATGCCCATGTTAAAAAGTTGGGGGGGCATGGCTCCCTGGTCCACCTTGTTCCTGTGCCCCTGGATCTCCTTACTGTTCAATGTGTTATTTTTAAGGCTGTGTGTGTCATGGCCGCTGTTGGTTTGATTGGTAACTTTAGCTACAATCTCATGAAGATGTTTTCACTGGAATTTTCTCATAATTTAAAGACAATCTCCACCTGCAAACTCACCCAGTCTGTGTGCTCCTAGGGGTTCCCCTCTTTTTGTCTCCAGTTCATATGGCAGAGTGTCTGGAGAGGGAAAGGATAAGAGGTGAGATTTCAGGCTCTCCTATTATAACAGCATCACCACTCTGAACTCATAGAGCTGTGTTTTAATTATGACAAAGAAACAGAGACACATTCAGGTATTTAATATTAAAAGGTCTGAAACCTTCTATTTCCTCTCTCATTCAGGCATCTCCCAGCAACCAACACAAATAAATAAATAATGATAAATTAATGGAGATATCCTATCTCCTAGAACTGGAAGAGACCTAGGAAGGTCATTGAGTCCAGCCCCCTGCCTTCACTAGCAGGACCAAGTACTGATTTTGCCCCAGATCCCTAAGTGGCCCCCTCAAGGATTGAACTCACAACCCTGGGTTTAGCAGGCCAGTGCTCAAACCACTGAGCTATCCCTCCCCCCAATTAATGGAGATATCCTATCTCCTAGAACTGGAAGGGACCTTGAAAGGTCATCAAGTCCAGCCCCCTGCCTTCACTAGCAGGACCAAGTACATGATCATCCATGAAGCCTCACAACCATCCCAGGACAGACAATTTGTAAGAGAGATTTACTTTTCCCCTCATCATCCCCTCCCACCCTTCAGACTCCAGTTGGTTTGTCTCATTCACTTGCTCCCTTTTGTCATATCCTAGACCCAGAGCCTGCAAAGACTTTGGCATAAAAGTAACTTTATCCACTTGGTTCCCTTTGACATTAACGGTGGCTGCAGGGGCCAGTGCAGACCTTGGCACAGGCTAAGGAAGTTCTGAAGCCAGCCAGAGTTACATCCCTATGACAATGGCCCCCGTGTGTCTTGGCCACTGTGCAGAGTGTTAGAGGCCCAGCTTAACACTGCCCACCTCCCTTTATCCCTCATCCACCCCCTCCCTCTTCCACTCCATGCTCACCACCCCCACCCCATTCCCAGCTCTCTCAGGAACACGCCTTATGCCTGCAGCTCCTGGGGAGGAGGCACAAGAGGCTCCTGTGCTGGAGGGATCTCTCACCATGGGGGAGGAGCTTGCTCCTTCCTTCCTTACAGCCCATTTGGGCCAGACTAGCTGCCGTATGGAACCCAAGCGCAGTGATGGGCTGGGTCCAGCTTTTGGACAGACCAAGATTGAGCATTTATATTGACTAACTTAGCTTTGGCCTGGACTCTGGTGAGCAGTTTGCTTGACATAAGGGAAATGTTGCCTTAAGTGACCTTGTTATTAAGTGATGTGTTCATAAGTTGCTATGTGGGACAAAGAGATGTTTTGACCACACAATGTGCTTAAAGACAACAGACACCCAACATGTACTGCCAAGGAGAAGTTAGCAAAGTCCACAACACCTATGCAGAGAAGAGAATAGAGACATGAAAATAGCTTTGACAGCAAAAGTCCTGCCTTTAAAAAGCTCATGCATGTGTAGTGTATGAGTTATAAAAGGTACTTAATATTCATAACACTCAAAGGTGATTGGAAAAGAAAATACAGTTACCTTTTCCATAACTGGTGTTCTTCAAGATGTGTTGCTCATGTCCATTCCACAGTAGGTGTGTGTGCTCTCCACGTGCACTGGTGCCGGAAGTTTTCCCCCAAGGAGTACCCATAGGGGAGCGCCCCTAGTGACCCCTGGAGTGGCACCTGCCTGGCGCGGTATAAGGGTTGCTGTTCGCTCCCCTCACCCTCGGTTCCTTCTTGCCGGAAAACTTCGACAGTGGGGAAGGAGGGCGGGATGTGGAATGGACATGAGCAACACATCTTGAAGAACACCAGTTATGGAAAAGGTAACTGTCTTTTCTTCTTCGAGTGATTGCTCATGTGCATTCCACAGTAGGTGATTCCCAAGCGATACCTGTTGGGAGGTGGATAGGAGTTCACAGACACTCAGGATGGAGCACTGCCCTGCCAAACACGGCATCCTCCCTGGTCTGGGAGATGATCGCATTATGCGAGATGAACTTGTGGACCAATGACCATGTTGCAGCTCTACCAACATCCTGAGTAGGGACGTGAGCTAGAAAGGCGGCCGATGAGGCCTGCGCCCTTGTTGAGTGTGCTCTCACAATTGGTGGCGGAGGGACTCCCGCGAGGTTGTAACATGTATGGGTACACAAAGTGATCCAGCTGGAGAGCCGCTGAGTGGAGATCAGTTGACCCTTCATTCGTTCAGCCATGGTGATAAACAACTGTGTAGATTCCTGAATGGTTTTGTCTGTTCCTGGTAAAAAGCCAGGGCCCGTCTCACATCTAGCATGTGGAGATGGCACTCCTCACTAGACGGAGCTCCTCACTAGACGTGTGAGGCTTGGGACAGAGGACTGGAAGGAAGATGTCCTGGCTCATATAATAGACTGAGACCATTTTGGGGAGGAATGAAGGATGTGGGCAGAGCTGGACCTTGTCTTTATGAAAAACCATATACGGGGGTTTGGAAGTCAAGGCCAGGAGCTCCGAGACTCTTCTAGCAGAAGTGACTGCCACGAGAAAGGCTACTTTCCATGAAAGGTGGGATTAGGAACATGTGGCAAACGGCTCAGATGGAGGCTCTGTCAGCTTGGCCAGAACTAAGTTAAGATTCCACTGTGGAACAGGGGCTCTAACATAAGGGAAGAGGCACTCCAAGCCCTTAAGGAATTGACCGGTCATGGTGTGAGGAAAAAATACTGTGTGGCCAGGGGCAGCAGGTTTCTAGAAATTTTGGTTGTGCCCAGAACGCCCAGAGCCTGCCCTCCCAAACTCTGTCCCCCACCTGCCAAAAGCTCTGGGAAGGAGTTTGGGTGGGGGAGGAGGTCTGGGGTGCAGGCTCTGGGCTGGGTCAGGAGATTGGGGTGCAGGAGGGGTGCAGGCTCTGGGAGGGAGTTTGGGTGTTGGTTCTGGGCTGGGGCAGGGGGTGGGGAACAGAGGAGGCGGGGGTGAGGGGTGCAGGCTCTGGGCTGGGGCAGGGGGTGGGGAGCAAGAGGAGAGGTGAGGGGTGCAGGTTCTGGGCTGGAGTTTGGGTGCAGGCTCTGGGCTGGGGCAGGGGGTGGGAGGTGCAGGTTCTGGGCTGGGGCTCGGGATAGAGGCTCTGGGAGGGAGTTTGAGGGTGTGAGCTTGTGTGTGGGAAGGGGGTAGGGGTGCAGGCTCTGGGACGGGGTGGGGAGTGCGGTGCTTACCTGGGGCTCCTAGGCGGGGTGGGCAGGTCTCTGTGTGCTACTGCCCCCAGGCTCCATCCCTGCAACTTCCTATTGGCCACAGTGGTGCTCAGAGCAGCGCATGGAGACAGCCCTGCTCCACCCTGCCCAAGGGCCACAGGGAGGGGCCGGAAGCCACGTGGAGCGAGCAGACAGGAGGCCACTCAGCCCCACTGTGCTGCTGGTGGTGGGCAGGGGCCCTGGGCCATTTTAAATAGCCCAGGGGATGGGGGGGGAGCACCCAGGGGTGGCAGGCGGGGCTGTGGGAGAGACCCAGCCCCAAACATTGCTAGAGCCAGGCCCCGGGCCAGGAACATTCCTGGTGCCCAGGCATCACCAGCCCATATAACTTGCCACCTATGTGTGTGGCCTTGCACAGGCGGGTGGAAAGCCAATATGGCTGCCAGGTGCACTTTGACGAATGAGGGCCCTAGACTCTTGGCTCTTAGATGAAGGAGGTAATCCAGTATTAGCTGCAGTGGAGCAGCCACTGGTTAGACGCCGTGATCGGCAGCCCATCGACAGAACTTTGGCCATTTTGCCAGGTAAGCCTGATGCATGGAGGGCCTCCTGCTTTCCAGGAGGACTTGCTGGATGCCTTCCAAACAGGTCCTTTCCTCTTGGTCTAACCACTGAGCGTCCATGTCGTGAGGTGGAGGGCTGCAAGGTTGGGGTGGAGGAGGTGACCTTGGTCCTGAAAGAGAAGGTCTGGGTGGCCCGGCAGCGGCCCCGGGGGGGGGCAACGGACAGGTCCATCAGTGTCCCATACCAGTGTTGTCTGGGCCATGCTGAGGCAATCATGAGGATGCAAGTCTTGTCCTTCTTGATTTTTTGCAAGACCTTGCTGATCAAGGGAATTGGAGGAAAGGCATATAGCAGCTGGCCCAACAAGGACAGAAGGAAGGTGTCGGAGATCACACCCTTGCCCAGGCCCCTCCTGGAGCAAAACTGGGGGCACCTGAGGTTCTGTCTGGTCATGGAGAGATCCACTTGGGGAGTGCCCCACCTTTGGAAGATCATGTGCACCACCTCTGGGTGCAGCAACCACTCGTGCTGGGAGGAGAAGTCCCAGTTCAGGTGATCTGCTCGAGAGTTCCGGATGCCAGGTAAGTGGTGGATTTCCAAGTTGATATTATGGGTGATGCAGAAATCCCACAGCAGGAGGACTTCCTGGAAGAGGGCTGTAGAGCGGGCTCCACCTTGCCCATTGATGTAGAACATTGAGGCCGTGTTGCCCATGAGAACTCTGACTACTCTGCCTGCAAGGCACGAGTGAAAAGCCATGCAGACTGGATGGACTGCTCGGAGTTCTTTGACATTTATGTGCAGGCCCAGTTCCTGCACAGACCAGAAGCCTTGGGTTTGGAGGTCTCTAACATGGGTTCCCCACTCCAAGTCCGACACATCGGACACCAGTTCTATGGTGGGAGAGTGGCTCCTGAATGGGACCCCTTGAAGAATGTTCTCCAGCGTGGTCCAACAAAGGAGGGAGGTGAGTACGGTCTCGGGCACGGTGAAGACTTTGTCCAACCTGTTTCTGGACTGGGAAAATGTTGAGGCCAACCAGAGCTGAAGGCGCCGCATTCTGAGTCTGGTGTGGTGTGCCATGAATATGCATGCTGCCATGTGGCCCAGGAGCTGGAGCACACCCTGGCCATTGTCACGGGATACCTCGAGACTGCCCTGATGAGATCCCTCAAGGTTTCGAACCTGTCCAGCAGGAGGGAAGCTCTGGCTGATGTCGCATCGAGAATTGCGCCAATGAACTCTATTTGTTGTACCGATACCAACGTAGATTTGATGTTGTTTACCAACAGTCCCAGTGCGGTGCACATGGACAGCAAGAGTGTTATATGATCCTGTACCTGCGACCTAGAGCTGCCTTTGACCAACCAGTCATTGAGATAGGGAAGATCTGGACCCCCCGATGTCTGAGGTAGGCTGCCACCACAGACATGCACTTTGTGAAGACTCTGGGTGCCGTCAATAGGCCAAATGGGAGAACGGTGAACTGGTAGTGTTCCTGTCCTACTGTGAAGCAGAGGAAACATCTGTGGCCCTCAAATATGTAAATGTGAAAGTACGCATCTTGAGATCAAGGGCAGCATACCAGTCTCCGGGATCCAAGGAGGGAATGATGGAGGCCCGGGAGATCATGCAGAACTTGAGTTTTACCATGTACTGGTTTAGTCCTCACAGATCCAGGATGGGCCTGAGGCCCCCTTTGGGATAAGGAAATAGCGGGAGTAGTAACCTTTGTTCCTGAACTCTGCAGGCACCACCTCCATCGCTCCTAGGTGAAGGAGCTGTCTCACCTCTTGCTCGAACAGACTCTCGTGAGAGGGGTCCCTGAAGAGGGATGGGGAGGGAGGGTGGGTAGGTGGAGTAGAAAGAAATTGGAGGGTATAGCCCTGGGAGATGGTCCTGAGGAACCAGTGGTCTGAGGTCAGCAGTTGTAGAATGGATGAATGAAATTGTTTTTAGTTGTTCACTTTATTAATGTAACTTCATAAGTAAAGTTTTATGAATGAAATAACATTCACTCATAAAACCGGTTACCCCAATAACTGGCTAATTGACAATTAAGATGCTAGTTAAGAGCCACAGCGTCTAGCCAGTTGCCCTAGTAAATTTCACTGTCAATCCAATTCCTGCTTAAATCACTGACTTGCACTGTTTCAGTATTGTAACTTCTGTTCATTGTTTGCCATTCATTACACTTGTCTACTTCTGTTCACTGTTTGCCATATTGTAACTCAAACTCCAATTTACAACGCCTACTCCATTTTGTAAAAGCTTGCTGCAACCTTCATTTTTGCAAAACCCTGCTGTAATCTTATTAGTTTAGTTTAGATGTGTGAATGAGGTATGTATCGGTGATGAAATCAACCTCCAGCACCAGTCCGTCCTGATGAAATAAAGTTTAAACACCAAGGGCTGAAGATGCAGACAACAGCCCTAACAAAGCAAGAAGATTCCACCCTAAAAAGAAAAGAACAAAGGTACAATTGAAGGAACATCAAAGCCAGGTCCCAGGCTGAAAGTCATGTCTGCAATTGACGGGTGATCAATCACACCAACCCCAGAAGCAGTGTGACAGAGCAAGACCTATAGACTCTGGATTCAAACTAAAGCCTACAAAAAGGATGGGTGCGATGGAAGACTTTGGAGGGTAAAGTTCTGCTGCCAACATGGAAGGGCATCAGTGCATGCCCAACAGAGACCCAGCCCTTCCTTGTGCCCGGCTTTCCTGGCCAGTTAGCCGCCACAAGCTACGAACCCAAGCCACGAACTCAAGCTACATTCAGGACTGGTAACTATCTAGCAGCTGCAGAACATTTGATGTGTATGTGTGTATTTGTGTGTGTGTATACATAGGTATTAGATATTAGTTTTGGTCATAAATCAAATTGTGTTATCATAATAAACGTGGCATCTTGTCTTGTCCCCTGAAACAATCCTGTGTAGTTTTGTCTGCATAACACAGTGACCACTCTGGGAGAAATGTGTAGAGACAGCTGGAGAAGGGTAGGATGGGTGGATCCCTGGTGCAGACTGGTAAGTCGTCCCCGGGCATCCCATCAAAAAGTGCACTTACCCATCTGCTTGCCCTTAAACGGGCCAGGCTGGGGGGCGGACTGAGACTGCCGCTGTGAATGCTTGTTATAGGTTCTAGATTTCCTGTAAGAAGGTTCATGTCGGGAGTGGGTGGCTTGGCTGGGGGTTGCTGAGGCTTAAACTTGGTCTGGCTGGGGCCGGGACATAGAGGCCAAGAGTCTTTAAGGTCATGTGAGAGTCCTTCAGACCATGTAATTTTACATCCGTTTGCTCTGCGAATAGGGCCTTGCCATCGAAGGGGAGGTCCTACAGGGAGGTCTGTGCCTCATTGGACAGCCCGGACAAGAGGAGCCAGGACACCCTCCACATGGACACCACAGAAGCCCTGGTTCTTGCTGCCATGTCTGCCACATCTGAAGCTGCCTGAAAGGCAGCTCTGGCAGCAGCGATGCCCTCCTCCACCAGGGCCTTATACTCCTTCCTATCATGTTCCTGGAGGGAGTCTGTAAACTTAGGCATTGACCACCCCAAGTTAAAATCATATCTGCCCAGCAGGGCTTGGTGGTTTGCCACCCTCAGCTGAAAGCTTGAAGAGGAATAAAGCTTTCTGCCAAGCAAGTCCAGTCTCCTTGAGTCCTTATTCTTTGGGGTGGGCATGGGCTAGCCTTGGCGCTCCTTGTGGTTGACCACCTCGACCACCAGGGAGTTGGGGGCGGGGTGAGTGTACAGATATTTATGCCCCTTGACGGGCACAAAATACTTCCACTCTGTCCTCTTACAGATGGGGGGCAAGGAAGATGAGGTCTGCCATAGGACAGTGGAGATTTTCACCACACCCTCATGGAGCGGGAGGGACACCCTAGCCGATGCTCTGGTTGAGAGGACATCAAAGAGGGAGTTCGATGGCTCCTCCACCTCCTCAGCCTGTAAGTTGAGGCTTGAGGCCAGACTTTTCAGGAGCTCTTGGTGGGCCTGTGTGTCCTCTTGGGGAACAGGAATAGGGGGCGCCATAATGGCCTCATCCGGGGAGGATGAGGATGGAAGTGCAGTGCCTGGCCTCCTTCTGAGTGCAGGACCAGAGAGGAACGTTTCGTTGACCCCCTCCTGGGGGGTTGAGAGCAATCACTCAAAGAAGAACTAATAAATATATAATATGGATGTGTATAATATGTCAGACATTGTAAGAGGTAGTCAGAGCATCATAGGAGAAATCCCCTGTGACCCACCTATGCCCCAGCTAGGGCTGTCCTTAGGGGGCTGTGGGGCCTGGGACAACCTACCCTCCACCCCAGGCCCTGTCCCTGCCCCCCTTTTCCCACCCCATTCCGTCTTCACTCCAGCCCCATTCCACCCCTTCCCCCAAACCCCACCCCCCTTCTCTCCTGAGCAATGTGGGGAGCAAGCGAGATGGAGTGAAGTGGGGCTGGTCGCGCTGCTGCTGGCCCCTGTGCCACCCAGGCCCCGCGTCCTCCTGAAATGGGGAGCGAGGCCACTGGCCCCTCACCTTCCAGGACCCGCATCCCCCTGACGTGCAGGCCCCCCCAAAGCGTGGGGCTCAGGGCAACTGCCACGAACTGTCCAATGGACAGTGGCTCTGGCCCCAGGAGAAAGTAACTGGGCAATAGTTCTTTCAGTATGTCTGTCATTACTTACTCTAATAGTAATTGTAATGGCAAGACAGGCTTTTGGTAAAATAAAGGTTTGAATTAATCAACCTGAGTGACTTGGACCCCAAGTGTGTGATATTCTCACCCAACAATTAAATAGAAGTATCATCTAATTATGAACCAATTGGCCAGAACCATTCTCATCCCTCAATCTCAGAGGCTTATCCCAATTCCCCGCACCCCCCAGATTCCTTCTCGGTACCTTTGAACTCCCTCAGAGTCTCCATTAGAGCAACAGTTTTCTGGGAGAAAACATGGAGCCCCTTTTCCAGCTCAGGAGAAATCTTCACTGACTGCTGGAACTTCCCCTTCTCACACCTGGAGAGAAATAATTTCACATGGTTCTATTTCATTTAGTGACGCATTATAAGTTGTTGCTAGTAGTGAGTCGCTGTTCTCAAGGGCCTAGAGTTAGAATTCCTCGACTTCTCCCAGCCTTAGTGCAGGTGCAATGCAAGCCATAGCCATGCAACCTTCCCCTCAAAGGACCAGCTCTGGGGATCAAAGGGGATGTGAGTCTCTATAGCAAGTTCACTCCTTGGCCTCCATGCTCTGAGGGACAGGAGGTTTCCTTGTTAAGTGTTGTAGAAATCTGTCAACTAGGAACTAGACTGAGACACCAACTCCCCACTCCCCAGCTCATTCCACACAGGTCTCCAAACTGTCCTCAGGTCGGAAAGACTCTTGATCACTGCTGCCCTGGGCTGAATGGTAACCAGGGCCCCAGCAGTGACAGGCCCATATTCCATCCCCACAATCCCAAGGAAGCCAGTCCCCCATGGATGTGACATCTCTTGGAAATACTGGAGGTCAGTTTTTCCACCGAATGGAGAATTCCAGAGTCTTTTATAAAAGGGTGATAACCTCATGATGAAGTTGATCAGAGAGATTTGTATTCAGAATATGACCTTCCCCACACATTTTGCTGTAGAGCCCTGGGGAGATGTGGTGCTAACATCACACCAAGCTCTTTCCCAGCGTTGAGAAGTGTGAAGGGGAATGAGAGAGAAACACGTACCTGCTCAAGGTGCTTCTGACATCCTAGAGGAGAGGGAGAGGGAAAGAATTTCAGTCTCACCTTACACATACTTAATTTTCCAAGAAAGTGATTTTGAAATACGGGTAAGAGAGACCCTGCCCTGACCACATTGCCATATATTCACTGAAGTAATGGGGCTTTTGTCTCTTTTAATATCTCTGTGTCTGTGACTCTGCAATGACCAATAGTCATTCACATTTCAGGAATGCACACACTGAGTTACACTGTGATCTCTGACTGTTGGATCCCGTGCCCATGTTTTAGGAGCAGTCCTGTCCCTGTAGTGGGATTTGCAGTATTTCTAACTCAGTCTCACCTGCAGGAATTCACTCGCTGGCTTCTTATACTTCCCTTCCAGCTCACTGATCAACTTGCTGAGACAGAAAATCTCCTCAGAGAGTTTGGTGATATTTTCCTTCTCTATCTTCACAATCACCTCTTCCAGCTTTTCCAGCTGGGCCAGCAGGAGTCGCTCTTGTTCCTCCAGGAACTGCCGCAGTTGCTGAAATTCAGACACAATTTTCTGCCTCTCCTTTTCTATGTGTTTCTGTAAAGCAACAGGGAAATGGCTGGTCAGGGACATGGCAGCAGGCTGGGGTCCTTCCATCAAGTGCTGAGTGTGCAGAGGGGAGAATTTCTTTGCAAACCCTAACATTTCTGACACTTGACTCTCTCCTGTGGTCACTTGGGAGAGGATTCTCTCTCATCTTTTTCATTTCTCAACAGTGTGTCTGAAAAGGGATGTTTCCATATCTGATGTGGGTAGGACATTGTGTTATCAATGGCCTCTGAGCATGGAGACCCAGAGCAGCAGAAAGCAGGATTCAGCATTACACTGACAGAAGTTCCAAGGGAAAAAAGGAATCAAAGAATTCACCAACGCAAGAAATGATGCAGACACAGGGAAAGTTACAAGGGCTAGAAATTGACTCATTCACTGAGATGAAAGCTTAGATTCTGCACATGAACCTAACAGAGAAAATCTAGGATCACGGAGAAACACACACAAGCCCACATTGGGGGGGAGGGATAGCTCAGTGGTTTGAGCATTGGCCTGCTAAACCCAGGGTTGTGAGTTCAATCCTTGAGGGGGCCACTTAGGGATCTGGGGCAAAATCAGTACTTGGTCCTGCTAGTGAAGGCAGGGGGCTGGACTCGATGACCTTTCAAGGTCCCTTCCAGTTCTAGGAGATGGGATATCTCCATTAATTTATTTATTTATTTCTCCAAGGCCACACAGAAGTCTTCTTCCAAACAGACCTCCCACTGCCAGTCCCTGCCAGTTAGTGAAAACAGGTACCTACCAAATTCTTCCAGCTTTTCTTCTCTCCAGTCTCTTTTAATCCCAGCAGCTTTTCTCTCTCTTCCCTCAGAGTCTTCAAATGGGCCCGGATTTTTCCCTGTAGAAACAGAGATGATTTGGGAGGTTTTATTTTGAGGGCTGAGAGGGGTGCGGAAGGGATGTTTTTCCACCCAAACCCAAGGTGAATGTTGGTCCTAATCGCTTGATGACACTAGGGACACCAAAGAAATGAAACCTGACAATGAAGACTGGCAGTGTGTCATATTCAGGCTTATTACCAGTTCAGATTCAGTCTTTTTAGTAATTAGAGAGAGACCTCCATTGTCCAAGCTTGATTGGTATTTATTAATTAATTACTAGTGTGATGGGTTCGGTCACAGAAACCCCTTTGGGAACTGCCACCTGATGTGCTGGGACTACGTTTAAGCCCGTTTTCCCTGGCGGCTTGGGACTTCAGTGCCTTGCCTGGTTGTGCCAGACACGCTAGCCTGCTACAAACACAGACCTAGGTCTGAACCACGTTCCCCAAAAGCTTCGGGCTTAACTGAAAACAGCTTAAGAAGTGCTCCTGTCTCCAACACTCAGGGTATGTCTACACTATGAAATTAGGTCAAATTTATAGAAGCTGGTTTTATAGAAATCTGTTTTATACAGTCGATTGTGTGTGTCCCCACATAAAATGCTCTAAGTGCATTAAGTCGGCGGACCGCGTCCACAGTACCAAGGCTAGCGTCAACTTCTGGAGTGTTGCACTGTGGGTAGCTATCCCACAGTTCCCGCAATCTCTGCTGCCCATTGGAATTCTGGGTTGAGATCCCAATGCCTGATGATGCAAAAACAGTGTCGCGGGGGGTTCTGGGTACATGTCATCAGGCCCCTCCCCCTGCATCAGAGCAATGGCAGACAATCGATTCGCGCCTTTTTACCTGGATTACCTGTAGAGACGACGTACCACGGCAAGCATGGAGCCCGCTCAGCTCAGCTCAGCTCAGCTCAGCTCAGCTCAGCTCACCATCACCATATGTCATCTGGGTACCGGCAGACGTGGTACTGCATTGCTACACAGCAGCAGCTAATTGCCTTTTGGCAGTAGACGGTGCAGTATGACTGGTAGCTGTCATCGGCTATCTGGGTGCTGGCAGACGTGGTACTGCATTGCTACACAGCAGCAGCTCCTTGCCTTTTGGCAGTGGATGGTGTATTACGGTTGGTATCCATCATTGTCGTATTCCTCAGTGAGTTCGGTCAGAGGCACCTGGGCAGACATGTTTTGTCTCCTGGAGACTCAGTCCTGCTTGCAGTCCTATTGAACAGTCTTGACGATGATGGCTAGCAGTCGTAATACAGCATTTTCTGCCAAGCACCCAGAAGATGCCGATAGCTATCAGTCATGCTGCACCGTCTGCTGCCAGCTTAAGATGTAAAAAATAGATGGACCAGATTTGTTCTGTATTCATTTGCTTCTCCCTCCCTCCGTGAAATCAACGGCCTGCTAAACCCAGGGTTTTGAGTTCAGTCTTTGGGGGGGCCATTCTGTGTGACAGTTGTTTGTGTTTCTCCCTGATGCACAGCCACCTTTGTTGATTTTAATTGCCTGTAAGCCATGTCGTCACTAGCCCTTCCCTCCTTTCCTCTGTCAGACAATAGTTTTGCGCCTTTTTTCAAGGCCAGACGCCATAGAACTGGGATCATGGAGTCCGCTCAGATCACCGCGGCAATTATGAGCACTATGAACACCACGCGCATTGTCCTGGAGTATATGCAGAGCCAGAACATGCCAAAACAAAACCAGGTGAGGAGGCAATTGCAGCGATTGCAGCGTGGCGACGAGAGTGATGAGGAAATTGACATGGACATAGACCTCTCACAAGGCACAGGCCCCAGCAATGTGGAAATCATGGTGTTACTGGGGCAGGTTCATGCCGTGGAATGTCAATTCTGGGCCCGGGAAACAAGCACAGACTGGTGGGACTGCATCGTGTTGCAGGTGTGGGACGATTCCCAGTGGCTGCGAAACTTTCGCATGCATAAGGGCACTTTCATGGAACTTTGTGACTTACTTTCCCCTGCCCTGAAGTGCCAGAATACCAGGATGAGAGCAGCCCTCACAGTTGAGAAGCGAGTGGCAATAGCCCTGTGGAAGCTTGCAACGCCAGACAGCTACCAGTCAGTCGAGAATCAATTTGGAGTGGGCAAATCTACTGTAGGGGCTGCTGTGATCCAAGTAGCCAACACAATCAAAGACCTGGTGATATCAAGGGTAGTGACTCTGGGAAACGTGCAGGTCATAGTGGATGGCTTTGCTGCAATGGGATTCCCAAACTGTGGTGGGGCGATAGACGGAACCCATATCCCTATCTTGTCACCGGAGCACCAAGCCACCGAGTACATAAACCACAAGGGGTACTTTTCAATGCTGCTGCAAGCCCTGGTGGATCACAAGGGACGTTTCACTAACATCAACGTGGGATGGCCGGGAAAGGTACATGATGCTCGCGTCTTCAGGAACTCTGGTCTGTTTCGAAAGCTGGAGGAAGTGACTTTCTTTCCGGACCAGAAAATAACAGTTGGGGATGTTGAAATGCCTATCGTTATCCTTGGGGACCCAGCCTACCCCTTAATGCCATGGCTCATGAAGCCGTACACAGGCAGCCTGGACAGTAGTCAGGACCTGTTCAACTATAGGCTGAGCAAGTGCCGAATTGTGGTAGAATGTGCATTTGGACGTTTAAAAGTGCGCTGGTGCAGTTTACTGACTCGGATAGACCTCAGCAAAGCCAATATTCCAATTGTTATTGCTGGTTGCTGTGCGCTCCACAATATCTGTGAGAGTAAGGGGGAGACATTTATGGTGGGGTGGGAGGTTGAGGCAAATCACCTGGCCACTGATTACGCGCAGCCAGACACCAGGGCGGTTAGAAGAGTACAGCAGGGCGTGGTGCGGATCAGAGAATCTTTGAAAACCAGTTTTGTGACTGGCCAGGCTATGGTGTGAAACTTCTGTTTGTTTCTCCTTGATGAACCCTCCCCCCTCCCCGGTTCACTCTACTTCCCTGTAAACTAACCACCCCACCCTCCCGCATTTGAGCACCGCTTGCAGAGGCAATAAAGTCATTGTTACTTCACATTCATGCATTCTTTATTAATTCATCACACAACTAGGGGGATAACTGCCAAGGTAGCCCGGGAGGGGTGGGGGAGGAGGGAA